TGTTTCGACAAAATAGTTAGTCAAGTCAGTGCTTCCGAAATAGTTTTATAAGATTGTCCATTGAAACTTACGATTGTCCTTAGGAAGCGCGGCGGTTTTTTACTTTGTGGTTGTGGTTTTCAAATCAAAACTGCGTATGACGATACTATGATGATTACGTGGGAACGTTTTTCCAAAATATATGGTAATAAGTTTGAGATTACCGCTTAAAACTTCATCCAAGACATTGTGGTTTGCTAGGGGTGTTAACCTATGGAGTCCACTTTGTAAGCTCTTATCATCCCTCAACGTATTGTAAACGGTACGGCATCATGATTGGAAACCAAAGGGATTTCAAGTATGTCGATGTCCTCACAAATAGCCTTGTCATTTAATTCTGGGGATAAAGCGATCGTGAATACCTCTGGCATTACTGCTAGATCACCTGTTGGTATGTTACGTGGAGGGTAACTATAGCCGAACAGTAAGGAGACAGCGTTTAAGAGTTTCAGAACCATCCACACAGAATCCTGTGGTTTGTTTAGTTGAAACATCACATAAACGTGAGTTTAGGCTTGACGTGGCATTATGAGGGATCTTGTACCTCGTCCCTGTAACCTATCACTTTGATATCGATCACATTTTTCGAGAGATATACTCAAATAAGAAATACTACCGGTGGTCCATGCTTCAGAAATGATTATACGTGATGGTTGATCTTGCATTAATGAAAATACTACATGCAGTGAAAAGGAGTATTGGTTTTGTTCGTTTACAGTGATTTGAACGTGAAATGGGAGGACTTGAAATTCATCGTTATTATGAAAACCACTGAACTACATTGTGACGTAAGAACCGAAATTGTACCTAATCATCCAATGTTTCTCACTGTGAAATTTGTTAAATTTTTGACAGTCGGATAAAGATATCGTGTGTTGGTTACTTGTGAGGACTTGACTATTTGACTTAGACAATTTAGCTAGTCGATCAAGTTATCGCTGGAAGATTTTGTAATATGGTTTAAAATCTCAGTCAGATACAACAAGTGTGACATTTGGTTATTGATCTTACTTACTTTCTATCCTGGCTTTCTTCACCTGCATTTGTTGTTGCGTATGAGATAGAAGGGCTGGATCGTCTACGTCCAGAATGTCTAGCTGCATCTGAGCTGCCAACCGTATCCCATGCATCCCCATTCGACCACCAGAAGTAGAAAGGATGAGAGTAGGTGACCTTACCTGACAGTGGTCTTCACCTGAGACGAGTCTGTGAGCCTTCCTCCTTGCACGATTTTGCAGTTTACTCCATCAGAAGAATTCTGTATGATGTTAACTATCTTCTGAGACACATAATAGTGTCAGAGAAGCCTGCATAGCGTCATTATGTCCACTATGTCGTTTGCTTTCTCGTAATCAGGTAAGCTAATGGTAAGTGTTGAATTTCAATCATTTGATTGTTTCACATTGATCCCTAATTTCACAACCTGGTCGGTACATGATCTATCATTACGGAATCACTGCTAGATCCTCCACATAAATTCTCTTATCTGCTCTGATGCTTCTCTTCACTTCGTTTTTCGATACTCTTTATCCTACATGTGACTTGGCTTTATCTGTTCTTACTCGAGTGGTATTTACTGCTATCTTCCTGCGCTTCCTTGCTTAAATTCTATCCAGTATATCAAAAGTAATTCATTCCTTATGATGGTATTTCTTGTGGCAGCATATTAAACTTTGCGATGCATTTCCACTAGTTATTCAGCACTTCTTCCTTTTCATTTTCGTCTTAGATATCATCAAGTGATGATCTGTAGCTACGTCAGCTCCTTTCATTGCTCTTATGATCTCCGTGGTCCTTCTGAAATTTTTATTCATGCTAATACAGCCCGTTTGGTTCGATGTCGTATGGTCCAACGAAATCTGTGTGGCTTTGCGTAAGTGTTTATTTAGGAATATGGTGCTGCTTATGACAATTTGTTGAAGGCACATAGGTATGCAAGTCTTTCACCATTTTTGTTCCTTTTCCTCAGTCCTTTTCGACCCATAATGCCTTCAAAACTGGTTTACTTCGTTTCAAACTTGGCATTTAGGTCTTCCATCAGAACGGTCAATAAATTCACTAGGTTTCGCTCGACGACTGACCGCAGTCCCTCATATAAGTGATCATCATTCTTTTTAACTGTTATAGTTGGTACTCACCTGGCACTTGATGATATTCATTTATCTTTCATTGCTTTGATGATCCTGGATCCATGAGATTTCCGTCGTTTCGATGATTTTATGCTTCGCTGGACAGCATCAGTGAAGCCTCTTGTGTGTGAGGCGGTTTATACTTAATGGTCGGAATATAACAGCATTTATCTGGCAGCTATTGTAGTCCAACAGCGTCCGACAAGTTTCACCGATTCCAAGGACTTCCAGTTTATATATTTTCATTTTTGAAGCAACATGGACGGTTCTTCTGATCTACCTTAAATTTATAGAATTCCAGATACCTATATTAATGGTTGCTCTGAATGTTAGAAAGGGCATCGACATCGTGACTTCCAAAGAAACTCGGATTTTATTAGGAGATCTCATAACTCTTCTAAACGAATACCTTGCGACGGCCACGACAGAAATAAAACGGTTTGTACTATCTATACTGATATGCCTTTTTTCGAGTTGGTTTTCTACGATATGCAGTTGCTAACTACATAACAAACCCGCCACCTTTGTTCGAAAATGGCAACGACAGTAAGCCCAAAGAGGATCCAGAGGAAGTAAACTTCAAATTTCCCAAATCTCTTTTCCCTGAGGAGCTGTGAAAGTTCTAGGTTGGTACAAAATTAACCTCACCAGTTAAAAAAGAATATTAAAAAACACGATTTTAATGTTCATTTAAGTATTCGAAAATAGTTCAGGGATGAAAGTAGCACTTATCATTTCTGTACCTCACATCAATTTTGAAAATATTGTCAGGACCATTCGGTTGCTTACAGGCCTGTACGATCTGGCAACATGTAAGTAATCAATGCTATTGACGTTACTTTTCCATGTCAACTGCTTCTCCCACTCATGTTTATAACCTGGGACTGGTTCTACCTCTCATCAAGAAATCATATTACAAGCTAACCCACGCAACTATGTTGAAAAAGTGTTCACTGTTGACTTTATAAGTTACAGCGATAAAAGCAACAATGAAATAACGCTAATGCATCAAACCGCTGTCTCCCTCACTGTATTCTGTAGTTCTCTATAATTTTTAACCATTCGGTTCTTTTGAATCTCCTCTATCCATACAGTCATTTACCCATTTGTTGCCTCACTAGTGAATGTCTTCTATAACCTACATAAAGGTAGTCGTGTAGTAAGTGGACCAATAGAAAAGAATGAAGGTTCGGGCGACCAGGCCTTAAATGTTCATTCAAAAATGCATCTACTAGGTCATGACTGACCTCCGATTACGACTGTTTTCTGTGCTGCTTCTACCGCTTCCTCTTTGCTTCACACTCTGAAGAACCGAAAATAAGTCTGTTTTTTGTGAGGTACGACGGTATCGAACTGTTTGTCCATAGAGTTGCTGACATTTCTGACGAATCACATTCCTTCACTGAGGTTTGAGGATTGTGTTTTAACTGTTTCATCACCGTCAGCGAAGTTAACTTTAGGTCAAATAAAATCTCCACTGATTTATTTGAGTGTAACTGACATAACTTGCTTAATTTATTTTACTTACTGTTGTTGTCGTTATTGCTTATAATGAGCTTTTCTTGTTGACTCAGAATGTTTATATTCAGGCATTCGGCAATTCTTCCGGCACTTTTCAAATTTATTGGGATTCAAAAACTCTTTGATGTGTGCTGGTTTTTACGACAAACTATCTCGTAGGAACAAGGTGTGCCTTCTCTTATTTCAGTTTTCTCTCTTGTCCGAACGAAGACAACTCGGGTATAGCTTTACAAACTGTGATATTTCTATCCCGATAATATATCTTCAGGTATAAAATGACTTAATTCTAAGGTCCAGTTGAGGGATTTTAATCAGTAATCACCGACATTCAATATCTTTAATAGTTATCCAGTCTGTCTTCTCGCTGTTCAATCACAGCAGAATAACACTGTGAGCCCAAACGCCATTTCAAACTTCACAGGGGATTAGGCCGAGGTTGACGCAACGCTTCAATTTATGCACAGAAAACATGGTGTAGTCACCCCAGAATTATTGTTAACTCTCCTTAAAACATACACACGGCCAAATTTCGTCATTCTCAATGTCATCACACCCGTCCTCCTGAAAAGAGACATAAATCTGCTAAGTCGAGTGCAACTATGTGGATGATAGGGTTAAAACATAAAACTTACGAAGGCAAACTCAAACACTTAGGATTATTCCTGTTAAGTAACAGGAGAATCAAAGGTGAACTGATGATGCTCTGCAACATACTAAGTGTTCCAAATCATCCCAACCTAAGTATCTTGTCCTAACTTGGAATGTTATTTTGGTTGAAGTGACCATAGCCCCTCTATGGATAGCTTCAAGACGTAACTTAATGAATGCATACTCACATCTGGATTATCATCCCCCTCATTGACCAGCTATCCTTGATGCATATCTCGAAATTTTCCTGCAGTTCTCACTGTCGTTTTCTCTGAACATTTAACTATTCTATCTGGCTTATTACCTCCGTTTCCTCTTCTTTGCCTAAACTCCACTCACACAATCTGCTCCACCAATTTATTACTTAAATCTTCATCTTCTTATTAGCACAATACTTACAACAGTACTGAAACACCAAAAAAAGGAGAGCAAAGTAATCGAAACAAACGTTTCATTCAAATCCCGAGACATACAAACTCACAACCAACTGCCAACTGACTAGAATTAGACAGTCGAGTGGCTAGACTTCCATCGATTGGACATTACCGAACACGTGGAACCGTACCGAAAGAACAAGAATCGAGCGCGAAGAAATCAAATTGGTTTACACTAGCTCGTGAAAAAGATATTGGATATTGGAAAGTTGCTAGCGTAACGATATTGGACATTGGTTTAATTCGAAAGACTTGGGGATTTTTCAGTCGTGTCGGTACTGTCATATTTTATTGTGTGCGTCTACTTGGTCTTTCCATTTATGATATTATTGGATGATGTGCTTCGGGTTGCTACAAGCCCTTTACTCTACTCATAAAATCTTATTCTGATCACTTTATTTTGGTCGAATCTAATATTCTTTCCACGAGTTATTATAAACCAATTGGTTTCTTTGCACTCGATTCTTGTTCTTTCGGTACGGTGCCAGGTATCTGGTGGTGCCCAATGAATGGGGTACAAGCCACTCGACTGCATTAATTATAGTCGGTCGGCAGCTGTTTGTGAGTTTGTATGTCCCGTGGTTGGCTTGAGTACGTTTGTTTCAGGGCAGTAGGGTTTCTGGATACCAGCAACTATCACGTTACCAGACTGCATATTAGTTAGCTGCAATGTGGAGAATAATTAAGACAATAGTCTAATGCCAATAAGAAGAATTTTTCAAAACAAACTAAATAAGTAGGTAATTTAGTTTATTAGTTGGTAGTAAAGATTGTACCAGATGACCGAAGTGTAAGCAAGGGAAAAGAAACAAAAGAAATGAGCCGGATATATTAAGTTAATGAAATGGGGAGATGGCAGTAATAACAGCTATCAGGTCTTAAGGCATGCAACAGGCCCAGATGGTCCACAGGGGTTGTGATAATCCGTCTGTGACGGACAGATACAACGCAGAACTTCGTACGCAAGTACATCAGTTCAGGTTGCCATACCACGTCAGCACAGAGACGTAAATGTCAGTTCAAATCCAAGAGTGATAGCGGTAGTAGAATTATTAGCAGCAATGGAAAAGATTAGGGAGCAAAGACATGATTCGAAAAGTATAATTCAGTGAGATAAATTTGGAAGGAGAAAGATAGAGATTATGAGGAATTCAGAAGGTTAGAATTAAAAAGCACACAAAGAGTGGATGCACCTACGCCATTGCAAACGATTCTGAGCCATGTCGTTCAAGGTCTTTAACCATCGGTGACTTTCGGTCTCGCGGACCTCAACCAGGTAGCCTAGATCTACCAACATGACCCGGCCCACATGTTAGTGACTTCATAGATTTCTGCCATCCACAGCTTTCTTCCAACCTACTCCTACACCACAAAACATAGCTCGGCGAGGAAGTCCGTAGTTAGACATAGGCAACACATGTCCCAACTACCTCAACTGAAGTTCCAATGCTTCATCTATTGATTTGCCATCCTTGCCTAGAACTCGTTTCCAAACGATAGGATTGCTTACTCGGTCGTCCCATAATACACGAGAAATGCTTCGGATACACCTATCATCGAAGACCAGTAACCTACGGAAGTCCTCTACTCTGAGCGGCCATGTTTCGCATCCGTATAGTAGGACGGAGCGAACTGCTGCGCGGTACACTCGTCCTTTGGTTAGCAAGCGGATATATCACCGCTCCATAGGTGACGCAGCTTGGCAAAAGCCAATCAAGACTTCTGTATCCGAGCTGAGATTTCTTCAGTCACCAGGCCAGCAGCACTGATCAGACTCCCCAGATAAGTAAAGCGGCTACACGTTTGACTACTGAGTTCTTGACTAGTTCACTCCCTATCACTAGTTCAGGTGCCGATGTAAACCAATCTTGAAGCAACATTTTGCATTTCGAGGGTGAAAACCGCATCCCGAGCATGCCTGCATTGTTGCTTAGGGTGGTCAGAAGACTGCATTTTGTCAGCGTCTCCACCAAGTAGGACTATGTCATCGGCATATTCTAAATCGATAAGCGAGCCTCCTGGTAAAAGGTCTACTCCTGAAAATTCAGACGAGGATAAGGTTATTTCTAGGAGCATGTCTATGATAAAATTGAACATGAATGGAGAAAGTGGACAGCCCTGACGGACACCACTTGGAGTGAAGAATTCCGGTAACAGTTCGCCATAAGCTCTCACTCGACCAGTAGTGTTCGAGTAGAGAGCTTGTATAAGTTTAATGTACTTCTTTGGTACACCTTTCAATGACAGACACTGCCACAGAACCTCACGATCCACTGAGTCAAATGCCACCTTTAGGTCCAGGAAGACAACTATTGTAGGACACCTAAATGTGTGTCTGTGTTCCAGGACCTGTCGTAGTGTGGAAATGTGGTCTATACAACCACGTCCAGGACGAAAACAAGCCTGGTTTTCTCTAGTCTGCTCTTCACGAGCTTTCGTTAAGCGTCGAAGTATTATTGAGGCCAATATTTTAGATACTATATTAGTTAGGCTGATTCCCCTGTGATTGTCACAAGAAGACTTGTGTCCTTTCTTATAGATTGGGACAATCAGTGATTGAGACCAATCGGATGGGATTATGTCCAGTTCCCAGATTCTACCAAAGATCTCAGTCAATCTAGCTGCTAAAACCGGACCACCATCCTTAAATATCTTAGGGGTCAGTCTATCAGGACCTGCAGCTCACCCTCGCTTCAGATTACCTAACGCTTTCTCAACTTCATAAAGACTAGGGGGACTTAAGTTGATTTGCCATTCAGGATGACTGGAGATCGTGGGTAACCGAAGAGTGGCTCGAGGCCAGTTGAACTGATCCCTAAAATGTTCTGCCCATCGGTCCAGTCTCCTGGATTGAGAATGGATGATAAGACCATCCTTTTCCGAAATAGTCTCACTCACATTTGGGTTCCTAATACCAGTTTCCTTGATAAGTCGGTACAACTGTCTGTTGTTGCTTATCGCCGCTGCCTTTTCCATCGCTTTTGCTTTCGCCACCCACCACTGTTCACGGTCGTTGCGTAGGCTTTTTATCAGCCTGCGCTTAAGCTGATTTCGCTCCTCATCATGTTCAGAGCCAGGTGGGATGAGTTTTCGAGCCTCTATCAGTTCGGTGAATGCTACTGAGATCCACGGATTCATCCTAGGCTTACGGTTTACCTTACTAGAAGAAACCACTGCTGTTTCCACAGCCTTTTTGATATCATTCCAACCTGCCTCCGGATGGGAATCACTTACATGGTTGCCTAACTCTCTTTCTAGTTGTTCCTGGAATATAGTCCTAGCCTCATTATCATTGAGTAAGAACCCTAAGAGGTTTCCTTACGGTGTCTTTCCTACGTCCAGTAAGCCTCAAACAGATACGCGCTCGCACTAGGGCATGAGCTGAATCTAAACATGTGCTCCAGAACGAGCGACAGTCCTCTATCGAACCCCTCCATCGGTGGCTGATGGCGAGCGCCTAGCTTTTTGGAGGAGGTCCGTAAGCTTTATGTAGAACTCATCTTCCACCTCGTCTGAACTACAGTCAGTGGGGGCATAGGCAGATACGACGAAGGGGTAACGGCTAGTGTCCCTATCTTTACGAGTCCTCACCTGGAGACCCCCAAAGTCGTCTCAACGTTGGACCCAACTAGATCACGTCTCCATCAGCCACCGATGGAGGGGTTCGATAGAGGACTGTCGCTCGTTCTGGGGCACATGTTTAGATTCAGATCATGCCCTAGTGCGAGCGCGTATCTGTTTGGGGCTTACTGGACGTAGGAAAGACACCGTAAGGAAACCTCTTAGGGTTCTTACTCAATGATAATGAGGCTAGGACTATATTCCAGGAACAACTAGAAAGAGAGTTAGGCAACCATGTAAGTGATTCCCATCCGGAGGCAGGTTGGAATGATATCAAAAAGGCTGTGGAAACAGCAGTGGTTTCTTCTAGTAAGGTAAACCGTAAGCCTAGGATGAATCCGTGGATCTCAGTAGCATTCACCGAACTGATAGAGGCTCGAAAACTCATCCCACCTGGCTCTGAACATGATGAGGAGCGAAATCAGCTTAAGCGCAGGCTGATAAAAAGCCTACGCAACGACCGTGAACAGTGGTGGATGGCGAAAGCAAAAGCGATGGAAAAGGCAGCGGCGATAAGCAACAACAGACAGTTGTACCGACTTATCAAGGAAACTGGTATTAGGAACCCAAATGTGAGTGAGACTATTTCGGAAAAGGATGGTCTTATCATCCATTCTCAATCCAGGAGACTGGACCGATGGGCAGAACATTTTAGGGATCAGTTCAACTGGCCTCGAGCCACTCTTCGGTTACCCACGATCTCCAGTCATCCTGAATGGAACACAGACACACATTTAGGTGTCCTACAATAGTTGTCTTCCTGGACCTAAAGGTGGCATTTGACTCAGTGGATCGTGAGGTTCTGTGGCAGTGTCTGTCATTGAAAGGTGTACCAAAGAAGTACATTAAACTTATACAAGCTCTCTACTCGAACACTACTGGTCGAGTGAGAGCTTATGGCGAACTGTTACCGGAATTCTTCACTCCAAGTGGTGTCCGTCAGGGCTGTCCACTTTCTCCATTCATGTTCAATTTTATCATAGACATGCTCCTAGAAATAACCTTATCCTCGTCTGAATTTTCAGGAGTAGACCTTTTACCAGGAGGCTCGCTTATCGATTTAGAATATGCCGATGACATAGTCCTACTTGGTGGAGACGCTGACAAAATGCAGTCTTCTGACCACCCTAAGCAACAATGCAGGCATGCTCGGGATGCGGTTTTCACCCTCGAAATGCAAAATGTTGCTTCAAGATTGGTTTACATCGGCACCTGAACTAGTGATAGGGAGTGAACTAGTCAAGAACTCAGTAGTCAAACGTGTAGCCGCTTTACTTATCTGGGGAGTCTGATCAGTGCTGCTGGCCTGGTGACTGAAGAAATCTCAGCTCGGATACAGAAGTCTTGATTGGCTTTTGCCAAGCTGCGTCATTTATGACGTTGGCGAGAAATCCTTTTGCTAATGAAATGACGATTTTGATGTGCAGCACTTTCGGGTAAACATGTCGACTCATCATCCCTTCACTGCGTCCCACTAAATAGCTGTGAAATAAGGTTGGTCATAATAGATGATATTTGTAGGTTATCGATTTTCGATCATCGGTGTTTTTGAAGCGTCGCTCGAATGTCCTGGGACTTCAGAGGAAGAATAGCTGTTGTTAGAAAATGGGTGTTACTCATTTCCATAACTAATTTCTGTTATGTCATAACATCTGACGTGTGTGTAAACCTTCTTTGTTGTAAATGACCTACAAATTGATTGACATTATTATCTTATATTGATGTGACTCATAACTTTACTCATTTCCATAAGACACGCTATATTGGTCGGTACGTTTGCTCGTCTTACTTGATAATTGTGATTTCCTTATTTATTGTACTAATCTAATTGTTTTTATGTTTAGAAACAGATAAAGTTTATAGTAAAATTGGTCTTGTTCTAACTATAGCTTTCCCATAGACTCTGTACTCGCCAATATTGCGTTTACCGTTCTAGAATTACATCTGTAGGACAAGTTAAATCCTATAACGGGTACTAGGTAAGGATGGCAGATCAATAGGTGAAGTAGTGAAACTTCTAACTTTGTTTTTCTATCTGGAACTCCTAAAAATCTGTACCAAGTTCGTCTGTACATTTAGTTCCACTAAGCAACTGTAAATGCTTTCGAAAATGGATCATATTAGATATTTCTTGATATCAATGAAATCATGAAGTCGACCTTATTGGGTTCAGGTGTAGAGTTTATGGAAGAGTTAAACCAGCTAGTAAAGATACAGGTATTAGTCATCGTAGATAATTCAAAGGAACACTGCATATGTTGTGAAATATCAATACGTAAAGCGGTTAAGAAGTCTGAAAGCGGTCAACCTCAGACAACATCTATTCACTTTTGCCCGACGTATTTTTGTTTTAAGTCTTAAATGGATAAGCGTGGCTTTTATATCCATTCACGAGTTTAATTTCTGTTGCTGCAAATAAATGTAAGCTTATGAACTACTCTACAAGACGGTGGTTTATATTTTGAAATCCTCTATTGTTGATCGTATGAATTTAACATGACCTAGCGGTTTGAAATTTATGACTTCATTTCAGATAGCCATAATCTGATGTGTATTATACAGACTGTTTAAATCATGTAACTCCATTCTATAATAAAAATCGTAAACCATGAGATTGTCGAACATGTCTATAAACACAATGTTTCAGACTCTTAATTCCAATATGTCCCATTCTAAGCGTTCCGGTACATTGCGCACCGATTAAAATATTAAGTAACCCAAATCATATTCAGTAACCTTGAGTACATGATGTTGTTTTGAATAACATTAGTTCACTACAATTTCTGACAGAATTATTTGTTTAAAAAAATTAGCTGTTTTAGCGTTCATAAATATATATATATATATATATATATATATATATATATATATATATATATATATAGTAGTAATTCAAATCACCATCATTTTAAATGACATACATATAATTGGATGAAACATATACTAACAAATTAGTGATAGATCGATCTTATCTGGAAACTAGGTGATTTTATTTTGAAAAGTCAACATTAATGAATATCTGTATGTGTGTGTGTTTAAGTGTCAATCCAGAGTATGTCAATTCGTGATATGTTGTCCAACATCATTTCATTTAATTTTTTACTGAGAATACAACTTCCTGAAAATCTTAAACCTAATAAGTTTCATAACTAACTATTAAAAAGTAAAAGAGATGTAATCAAACTCACTAGATAAATATTTTGAATGATAGATGGGTTGCTTTAAAGCATTTTATCACCTGCTCTCTTATGTTCACATGTATACTTTCTCGATTCTCTAAATTTGTTAATTATGTTATGGTTTGTCTTCATTGGCTCAATTTCCATAAATACACTACTATCTTTTTCATTCCGTTTTTCCTAATCAGGCTGATAGAAAACATGGATCGTGAGATAGACATTTAAATATTTCTCTAACCTTGAATATTATTATCTCAAGCGCATGTTAAACAAAGATTTAGACTTATGCATTCAGGATTATTCATCTGAGAACATTTCAGTTTATTAATTTTTATTTGGATATTAATACTGACGTTGTATATATGATCTTCATAGTATTACTATGACGGATAAAGCACCAATTAAAACAAATAAGCGTCTACAACAAACTCAAGCTCAGATTAATGAAGTTGTTGATATTATGCGAGTTAATGTCGACAAAGTACTAGAGAGAGATAAAAATCTGTCTGAACTTGATGGTCGAGCTGGTAAGTAAAATTGTTTAGTTATTACGATTATGGACTTCATAACTGTCTGATTATATTAACTGTTATTTTCTATTTTACTAATGGTTCATTTATATCTTAATAATCTATTCACGTCACTGTACTGTATTCCCATTTGTTTTTGACACTAACTTTATTGTATGAATGTCTTGTATAATTGGTTGTTTATGAGATTTTTGATGAATTATAAGAATATGTTCAGTCGTTTAACCATGAAACTTTCCTGATGAATCTTATGTTCTATTTCCTCTATGAACACATTTCGATATTGTGAATTCATTATTTCATAGACATTTGTCGATTAGCTGATTCGTTGTGTATGCGTAAAAGTGCGTTATTTTTTCGATCATTTAGATGTTTAATGGGCTGTGGTTGTTGACTGCTCATTTCACTTAATTTGAGCAGCGGGATAGTAACTACTAGTTCACGAATCTGTATCTGTTTACTAATTCGTGTTAAAATTAAAGTATTTGATACTCGGATATATTTCTCACTTGGCATGATACAGATTCTACTTAAATGGAACATATCTGCATAGATTATGTTTCTGATTATGGAAAACTGTAAGTTTTTCATGCTATTGGAAAAGTTCATTTGAATTATTTAACGAAAAATTCTGTAAAATAAAAACATTTATTAACGGTTTTAGTTAACTTAATCATCATAGTGTCCTAGGTTAATTTAATAGACTAAGGATTCATAGTTAAATTTTAATTGAAAATATAGTTGGTATTTGGTAATCTACGGACGTTACATTGTCTCAAAATACAGTGTATAAGCTTATGATTTGTATATGTTCGGAGTTTTTGGGTGCTTCTAATCAATGTTTACTGGTGTATTCACTTAACATTTTGGTGTACATAAACCTGAGTAATACGGACTGTGCAATGTTATCTCAAAAAAACAAAAGATTTCTTTTCACTTCAGAAATTGGTGTTTAATATTGCTATTTAACTCGGAAGACTTTAAAATGCAAATATGATTGTTAATGGATTTAAAAAGTAGCTTTATTCTGTGGTACTTGTACAATATAATCTGTCTACATTACGTGTGAATCACTTTTTTTTAGATTCCCTTGATTTCAAATTTATTGTTTACTGTAATCTAAGATCGTTTAAATTTATTGATAGTTTCTGTCTTCAGTTGTTAAAATCAATTGTTTGCTGTCTTTTGTATTCCAAATGTAAGCTTGTTATTTCAATGAATCTTTAACAAATATTAAGGACCACAAGTAGTTTTCTCAACTCGTTTTAACTCGAGTATGTCTATTAAGGGAAACTGACATAACCATAGCGCCTATGCGCTCTCTTCATGGTTAATATTCGGTGATGTAGGTTTTGTCCACTTTTTTTTTAGAAATAGGAAACCTGGATGTTTTGAATCATCCCTCAATTGCTAATACTTTTGCAAATTTTGGTCATGGGTTAAGTTTATTTATTTGGTTTTAACTTTGGATATGTATGTTTTCTGAAAGTTGCAAGCAGTTGTAGTCAGTTTTAAAAATCTTTCTGACAGGAACATTTGATTCACTACTCTTCATCCTATTCTTAATATTGGTTAGATATATTATAATCAAAATGGTGTACTATCTTATTGGAGTAGGTGTATTCTTATTGATGTGAAGATTCAAGAATTTCTCTAATTACTTATTACTTAGAGTTTTAATTTTTCATGTTTTGTTTTTCAACCTTTGAAAATTCCACTATACCACAGGTACTAATAATGTTTCTTTAGCTTTCATATTTAGTAAATCATTTGCTGAATCGATATTTGGCTTCTCTAGTTCTCACGCTTGTTAGGCGTTGGGGTTGAAATGTATATGACAAAACTATGAAGATAATAAATGAAACCATCATGTAGACGCTTTTTCTTTCCAAATTTTAAGAATCAAGCCAAGTTTCATATCTTTTGTAAATTAGCACAATACATTATGTGGCTCTATTAAGTTTAATTCTGTGTTTGATTGTTATTATTATGATTTTTAATTGGGTAATTTTTCAAAGTTTCTTTTACTACCTGAAAATTTAAGCTTTTAGTTATTTTTTTGGTTTAACTATTTGATGAATCATCATTTTCTATTAATTCGTACATAAAACCTTACTTCCGGGAGCTTACTGTTATAAAGCTTTTAACCAGTACAGTTTGATAACTACCCAGAAACGTTTAAATACAGAAAACCACCAATCTAACTTGTTTAGTTTAGTGGTTACATTGTGATATTCATCATTACAATCTGAACTATATGCAGAAAAGTCACTGGACAGTTTCTTTGTGAAATAATCATGTTTATAATTTAAAGGGATGGCATCCTTCAGAAATGAAGTTCCCACTCTTAAAATACCACTTCGTTAGAGTAAAGCAGTAGCTCACTGATTAAATTATTCGATTTCTACCCCCTGAGTAGCAGGTTATAATTCCGCGCCACCTACTTCGGTTCGGATAACCGACTAGCGTCACTAGACCTCTCACTTAGTGTCTGGAAGGTAAATTCTGGAACTTGTACTCGATAAATAGGTTAATAAAAAATTGCGTTAGAGCTTATCAATTTCTGTAATAGAGGGATTTTCACTTTTAATATTGCCTGTTTTTCTTCGGTCACATTAATCCTCACTCTTTATGATTAAATGATAAAAATATTACTAACTAGAGGTTTCACTTATTTTTGTAAGCTTACTAACTAAAGTAAGGTAACTGATACTATTTGACTGGAAGTTTTTAGTACATTCAATTATGAAAAATATCATTATGTATAAATATTCATCTTACAGTTGACTGTTTAGTTGGCCTATAAAAATGTTTATTTACTGCTTATCTCTTCATTTTGACTATGTTAAAACGTTAAATTATTTAATTTACAATTGTTACTATATTTACGGACAGCTTGTTTACTATTCATCATTACGAACGGTAAAGTTAGTAACATATAACTTCTGTAAGCTAGTCCTTCTACCAGTCTTCGTCCAACACTTAGTTATTTTAACTGTGATATAGTCCAGCGCATTACCAATATGACAAAACCAATTTGATTAGAAGTCTAGCCATCAAGTAGGCTACCTGTAAAAACATTTTTTTTTAGCATGTAACAACATTCTTTTTCCTGTTTGCATAAAGAAGGTTTTACATTGTGTTGTACATGTTTTTTTGGAGTTAATATCAATGTTTTTTTGTTTAGGAGGATTGGGAAGAAAATATCAGCGGATTACTCTCCTATCTTTTTTTTACTACTAATCAGTATATAAGTATAAGGATTATAGGGCAGTCAAGTGCTATAAATAACTATCAAGATTAGCATGATTTTTTTCATCCATTGTAACTCGGAAATCTATTTGTCTACTACTTTGTTTGTTTCAGTATAGTCCATTGATCTGATCAAATAATTTAATGTCATTCTAGTGAGATATTTTTGTTTGATCTTCATTTAAACCCATTTTCATTTATTACTATTATTAGATAGTTAATCTATTCAGTAGTCGTCAATATTTCTTTTATCGATTCAGTTAAGCTACTTCTGTTGATCATTTGATCACTGCTTTGTGTTTTCCACAACAAACTATTCATAAGTAGTCAAAAATAACTATTTCTGATGACCTTTTAAGTGACATAAAACATATCTGTGCATATTAGAATTGGAGGAAATGACTAAATGATTAACTACATTAGTTTGTTCTTCATCATCACACGATCGAATTTGATTAATTATGGTCAAGATTATAATTAATTATGCGACTACTTACTTCTAGAAGAAAAGTGGAAATAGTTTCCCAAGTGTGATATCTTTCAGTTAAATAACCATCAACGTGATATTCATTCTAGTTCAACAAATATAAAGCGTCCTATTATGTTGATTATGTTATTTCACTCGAATTAAGTATTTGATGAATATCGTGGTGTTTATTTTCTAGTGTATTTAATTGTTTAATTGCTGGAAGACAGTTTACTAGTAAGAGGCGTACACCTTATCTTCAGACTTACATGTGCAAAACAATCAGACTCTTAGTTGTCTTCTTCTCACACTTAGATTGCACCATGCATCCGGACCCGACACTTTTCAGCAGTAACTTCTGGGTGAAACTCCGCTGCATACTAGTTATAAGCCATGTTGCGAGCAGTGTACACCACACTAGTATTGGACTCCTCAACAGTCCACATCCTTCATGGTTTCAACTATAAAAAGAATACGATCTCCACAAATCCCCCTCATTTAAATACAATAGTGTGTTTCCAGGTTTCTAACGGTGGTCCAGCTAAGCTTAGTTGGTGATTCCAACTGTAAAAGTAAATTGTTTTGTTAGATAAATCTGTAAAAGCACAGTAGAGGTTTACTAACTGTTAGAAATCTATAATCCTTTAGTTCTTATAATAAAAATACAATCCACTAATATTCTAAATATTTTGCACTTAATGGCTGAGTATACATCTTGGTAACATTAGATATGATGTAGAGGTTCGTAGATAGCATTTCAGTGATTTCTATTTCCAGAAAGTTCGCGCCATATTGATCAATCCAGTCTTTTTTGATAAATAAAGAAACTGTTGTGTTCGCCTGTCCCAAGCCTGGATAAGTGAGGAGTGTCGGGCATGGCGTTAGCACCTCTTTCCCGTAGAAAACAAAATGGCTAAAAGGCCGCTAACCAAAACCTTTCGTTTTAGTCTTTAAAATTCCGCTTCAGGATTTGAAAGGTCTTCATTTAGAGGAGTTAAGACGCCTCATAGTGAAAACCGAGTTTCTTTGGAATCCACGGGGTCAATGCTCCTTCTCACAACTAAATACTTTCGCGATGGTTCTAAGCGTTTCACGATCTACTCAATGAAGAGGGAAATAGAAAACATCTGGAAATAGATCAAAGATGCACAACCTTGAGGATGTCATAGGGTTTTGAGCCACAAGAAGCTCCATCACAAGGAATGGATCACAGTTTATACTCCGGATGATATTGTAAAAAAGGAAGAACAGGAAGACAGCAATCGGTAACAGCCAAATAAGGGCTGAGATAATCAAGGCACAGACCGAATACACAGAAGCAAACAAGCAATTAAGAGAACCATTTTAATTGACAGACGGAAATATGTGGGTAGCAGAAGTTGGAATAGAACGAAACGCGAAACAGTTATACAATACAACTAAGAAGCTCGCTGGGAATTGTAGTAAACCAGTCAAGAACAAGGAAAGCAAAGCAATCATCAACATTGAAGAACAACGAAATGGGTGGTTAGAGCACTTTGAAGAATGCATGAATAATCCAGCCTCACTGTACCCATCCAATGTCGAAGCGGAATGTACAGTCACTACAACAACAATTGAAGAAATCAGCATGACCACCAGATAAATCAATGCCACCTTTCAGTCTTACTGACATTCAGAAAAAACAGTAATCTCATATCATTCTTTGAAGAATCGGCTAGGAGTTTAAGTTGCGTATTCCTTTAACCAGAATGTCATTTTATGATAGAAAGATGGCAGTATTATTGAAAACTACAAGATATAACATAACAATTATTACTGATCATTTGTGACCGACAAATGTCCATTTTGTGATTGTATTTAGTACATGGCACTTTAGGAACTGCAAAAATTATGTAAACGTACGTGGATAATAATCTTTTTAAAAAAATATTTAAGCAACTTAAGGGATTGTTTCAGTTTACGGAATAATTTTACCTTTTTTTTATCATCTAGTATTTGCTGTTATTGTATTTTTTTTTCTATTTCGTAATTTATTTACATAAGATGCATTACAAGCTGGTGCTTCTCAATTCGAAGCTAGTGCTGGTAAATTGAAAAGAAAATTTTGGTGGAAAAATTGCAAAGTAAGTGCAATCGGTTGTGTGTATTATTTATACATTAGTGTGGTGTTTTGATAAGAAAAAAGAAAAAGAAAGTCTTACATTTTGAAATACATTTTCTTTTCAAAACATAGTCAAAATAAAGTTTATTTTGTTGAATACAATGTAATTATTCAGTTTAGTAAGTAGTTAGTTAGTTGATAATTTAGATTGATATTCAAGGTGTTTGGAACTTAGATTCTTATGTTCAGTTTTATTCATATTCACTAAACCGTCATATTTCTCTCATTTCCTTTTGTAATCTGTTTATTAATTGATATTTGGATAAACGGTTAATAACAGAGCACAGCATAAAAAGAAATGGAATTTCCACTCCTATGTATATGGGAAAATTAGTTTGATCATAGTCAGTTATATGCGTGAAATGGCGAAATTTACCGAATCTTCTGGAATACATTACTGTTATTAACTCATCTACTATGCACAGATTTATGTGCTTGACTTGGAGCCTTAATTTAAACACGAGAACTAACATTACTACTCGGTCACCCCAATTGAAATAGGCTGAACCAGGTCGAAACCTGTGATTTAATGGCTATAGGTCAAACACCTTAACCACTGAGCTATCGCTTAACCCTGAAATACTAGGGAAAATTGGTACCGAAAGAGATGGCAATAAAACGTTTGTGTTTAGGAAAGTGAGTATACAGTTACCTGCTAACAACGTTTACAGAATAGCAATTATTATTTTAATTGATAAAATGCCAAATAGAGACTCACTCAAAATACAAAAAAACGGTTTAACTCATTTTGTAGTTGATTACGTTCTTCGTATGACAAATGATTGTACTTTTGTTTATAAAAAAAACTTTATTTCAACATAATTTAGAGAAGAATCCGTAGCTAGATAGGTTTCAAGCATACCAAGGGTGAGACAAATATAACCTTTGACAATTGATGGTTTTTACTCAATATCATGAATGACTGAAGTTAAAAATATTTAGCATTATATGCCAGGTCAATGGTTTTACATTAAAGCTCTCGGTGCAAGGCCTTCATGTCTTCGATTTGAACCCGAACGGGATATTATATGCTCACTTTCTATGAGCTTCGCAATAAGATAAAACAACTTTCCAGTACTTCATAACTTTCAGTAGCTAACTAAGGCTAGTACATTACGTAAAACTATAGAATTCAATCTTCACAACACCTTATGCTAAAATAGATTCCAAAACAGCGCTAAGTTCAGCTTGAAAAACGTCGGAGCAGTACAAGGTAATAAAAAGCGATATCAGAATGATAGTTAACGTCAAAAAAGTTTGTGTGAAGGTCCCGGATTGAAATGTTTCGATGTTTAAGTGACTTGTGTATTGTGTCCATTATCAAATCTATGAATAGTCTTAACCTGATTCGTTCCACTTTCAGCTATCCCTACTAATTAGCGTTTGCTTTACTAGAAGAAATCAATAAGGTTGATAATACAGCTTCCTTCAAAAGTTATTTCAAAATGTTTTATTCCAACTACCTTCAAGTTATTTTTATTTCAGTTACTAAACTACTTATAAACGGGACCGAATTAAATTGATCGAGATTTGTGAATATCTTCATTAGTAGTAATAAGAGTGAAATGTGTGATGTTTCTTATTCAGTATAACTGAATAAGATACAATAAGATACAATACCAACTTATATTTTCTCATTCTAAATACTCTTTAATCAAGTTCAGCTGAACATTATTTCGTTTACAATTTGATTAATATCAATTTTATATAAAACGGCAGTATTCCTACATAGGCTCTAATTCACACTTTTGTATTCCTTCTTTACCGTAACAATTTGCTTTTTTTTAAAAAAAAATTAAAACATTGACCAGAGATTCCTGTTTAATAATTACTTATTTTATCCATAATGATTGATTGTTTAGTAAAAAACCTTTTCATTATCTTATATTTTGAATCGGATTTAGATGCTAACAGTACTTGGTTTATTAGTAGTTATTTTAATTGTCATTCTAATTGGTGAGATTATGGTTACTACTACCATGGTTTTTGTGTATTTATGTTGTGTTAGTATCTATTCATACAATTAATTTGAATGTGACATCCATGTTTATGTATTGTAAATGTTGTTCTGCTTTTTATTGTGTTATGTATTAAGTCACTGAAGGATATTTATTGATGATCCATTAGATAAAGCGCTTTTGGGTAAAATAAACAAATAACGATAAAATTATCTCATGCTGTATATTTTATTCTTGATAATTTTAGTGAACACCCATTTTTTTTGTGATCGGATAAAATTTATTCTACTTGTTTCTTTTCGTTGTATATTTAGTAGTTAGTCTTATGCACAAGCCATCGTTGTGGAGTTCATATTCTATGTGACTATACTACTTATTGGTAACCGAAGTTCATTCCCTTTTTTCTTATATCTCATTGGTTAGACCGATTGTCGACAAACTGGTTACACTCTCATTGGTTGAGACGTATTTTGCATGAATAGTTATTTTGAACTCTTATGTCTGTCTGTGTGAACGATTACTTGAAAATAAACTTATCTAACTTAATTCCCATTCATTTTCTCATGACCACCGTCGCATGAACGAGGTGAACCTAATCGTAATATATAGAAATTAGATGAAAGATTTGTTTAATAGCTTAATTAATTGTTCGTACGCATTGGAGTCAGATCCCCGCTAACTTCAGGTGGTAATCTAAAGATTTGTATTAATATTTTTTTGTGTGGACACTAGGTCATTAATCTAAGAATCAGCTGATTATCGATGACTAAGATTTGATAAATTTTTAAAATACTAGTTTTAAAGGAGGGGGCGGGGCAATCAAGATATTTGTGTCGAAATAAAATCGTTATCATTAAGCTAACTGCATGTACCGTTACAAATAGAAAATATTTTATTTTGTTCACATAAACCTCATTTTACTGACTATTTCGATTACATATCCTTTTAACCGGTAATCAGTACTCAATTCCGTACGTATTTCAATTTCTATGACTGATGTATTTACCTACATTATAAATCAGATCAGTCATCCCAATCAATATTATGGAACGTTGACCTCATTCAAAAGAAAACGTTCGTCCAATGCATTTCACCGACTCCTAACACCTCCAATTTGTATCTTTGCATCTTTAAAGAAATTTGGAACAGTTTCCCAGTCTCCCACAATGTTCGGACATTCCATGTACCTACATGACCAGTTGCTGTGGTTGTGAGAAGGGTTATCGGCCCCGTGACTTCCGGAGAAACTTGGATTTTATCATAAGATGTCATACCTCTTTCAAAAGGAAGACATTCTACCTCCCAGGCAGTGATAAAATGGTTTGAATTGATTTTTCTGGTTACTGTCTTTTAGCGAGTTAGACTTTTTGTGGGTTGTGGTCGCCAACCCCATGCCCAACCCTCCTCCTTTATCCGGGCTTGAAGCCGGCGGTAGCCCTAGAGAGTCTCTATGTTTCACCCGTAAACTTTATTTTAATAGATAAAGAATTTCCTCAGTTGTATCATTTTCGTTCTTCATATCTGTTAATGTGTCGTTTTCCTATAAACTGACATTTATTTATGCAGTGCACTGAGAGATTCTTTAGCGTTTACTGTATATTAGGATTTAATTTTCAAGATTTAAGTAATAATGGTTGTTTATTCATAGAAAAAGTACGTGTATTTATTAATAACTACTTTTTTTCTTGTTATCATTAATTCATACGTGCTTCCCGTCTCATTATTATTATTTGATCAGCCTTTGCAAATCAACTTAACTTTCTGTTTATGTGGATGGATATACAATTCAATTATTATTCTGTTAAAGTAATCCTTCTTGTAAATATCTCTTTCTTATTAAAATAGATCAAATATTCTATTTGTCTTGTTGTTGTTGTTGTTGTTTATGGTGTTGTCTTTGTTAATATTAACTTGTGTATTTGTTTGATGTATGTAAAATTAATGGATTTCTTTTGTCATTTACTTTCAGTATGGATCGTTTCTGAACAAAAGTAAGTTGACTGTGAATCTTATAAATGATAACTTTACAATTAATGTCAATCAAATGATTCGATTGTAAAGATTTTACCATTCAAATTTATCGATATAAATATCAAATACTAAAGTTATTTGAACATAATCAGTTAAACTGTTAACTCAATAAACTAACCAAATGTGTCTTAATATGAGCGAGAATTCTAATGCTGTCCGGGGTAAGTAAGTAAACGAAAGTAGCAAGAGAAGAAATCCAATCAAGAGAAATACAACTGGAAACAATTTCTGTCAATGAAGTTCGTTTCATTTTTATGAACACTTCAAGGAAAAAAAAACTACTGTAGCACTGTAGCACTTCTAAGCTATGTCTTATGACGTCTCAAGGAGGTGAGTTATATCATCTGTCGAACCAGACAGTCTTGTTGAACCGATAGATATCAGCCCTGTAGATATTTCTTTCATACTATATCATAAACTGATCACTTCTCGAATTTTTCCTCACAGTCACTGCATCAACTGATAATGTACAACGTGGAAACTGCTGCTTTGACTATCGTAACATACAATTTAGCTACTGAAATCAGTGCTTCAAAATGATGATACCGATTGATTCGGCATCACTGCGCTCAAACATATGCTGCTAAACCTTAGTATTATAGATATAGTGTTGCTGTTAGGTGTCAACACATCGTCGAGTCATTGCCACTGGTAATGGATTTTCACATGATCTTTTCAAGAATATTCCATTCATTACCATTAGGTGTAATTTTCTACAATCCTTTTTGCATTTCGTTGGTGTTTGCTTAAGTTAAAACATAATATTCAGTCTTGTAGTCATATATATCTTTAAAAAGATATTTTATACACCTTGTGAAATATATTCTGCTATTCAACTAGAATTTCATAAGTTATCAAAATATTTCTTTGTAATACTGTTTTTGGTTTGAAATATCAACAATAAATTATTTTTTCCTTTTCTCAATATTATCATACTTTGTTTCAATCTAAATATCAATAGTACTAAATAATCGATTTTGTGTAGCTTATAAACAAGCTGAACCCCTCAATAAATGGTTGATTTTGTGAATGATATTGATTTTCCAGAAACATTCTCCAGTTTTTATTTTATTTTGAGAAGATAAATAAATTTAGATAAAATAAACATTCTCACTTAAATGAACGAATGTACATGCATAGCCAATTATGCAGAGTTCTGTTGTTCTTTTTAAAGGTTCGCAAAAACTATTCTCTTCGTCATAGATTAGAAATTTTAGGAACCATATAAAAACACTAAATTTAATGCTTCTAATATAATAAGCGTAGCAGTAGATTTATTCATGAATATTCACACGAGTACCTTTCATTCGTAAGTTAGTCGATTGAGAGATTGACTTCGAATTGATAGAAATTGAATTGATATCAATGGTTAGCATGATTATAAAATGTTAAATGCCAATCATGTATAATTAACGACTCCTTACTTCTTATTTCAAACATTTATTATTCTTCAGTATAGTTTCTTGATGTTAAAATTTATTACAACTCCCTCTATTTACTGTTGTTTTTTTTATGTCATCATTTTCTTGTGTCTTATTATTTTGTTTTAATGTACCCTGTAGAAATGAAGATGAACAAAATAAAAATTTATCTAATGGTTTCATGATGAACAATTCATTGCATTCATTATCTGAACCAGTGATGTTGGAACATTCAAAGGAAGGGAAACCTTATCATCATATAACGAATTCGAATAAAGTTAATGGTGAAGCGCTATCATCTCCAAGTTCTAATGAAATAAAATCTGAAGCATCGGAGAAATTACAATCACCTTCATTGTCATCATCGACTTCTTCTTATTTCACCCCTTTCTCTTCGTACCCCACTTCATCTCAACATCATATTGAAAGTAACGAAACATTCTTGTTTTAATTGGATTTTTCTCCGTGAATCGATAACTGATTACTCTCCGAATTGTGCCTGGGATCAATTATCACTACACACATTCATTTTCATACATACACCATCGATGTGAATTGAGAATAGTCGATATCAACCAGAATAAATGATACTTGTTTCTTTCTTTTATGGACGGTGTAAGACACAAAAGGTTATATATATATATGTATTGCTCACTTGTTAACTTGTTTTTTGATTCCTTTACAAAATTCATATCATTGATACCATAAATAAATCATTACATGTGCATTAAAAAAAAATCGTTCGTGTAATGTGTTTTCATTTATTCCTAGTGTATTCTTATCTGTCTGTCCGTCTCTCTGTTTGCTTGTACGCTTTTATGTAATTATGTGACTGTACCACAAGGATATTACCACTGTTACTATTTACTGTGATGACTACTACATACTTTTAATTTAATCTAAATTAATAGAATATTAAACTTTTTCTTCTGATTTTCCTTTCTTTTTCTCTCGTTATTTTTACGTGTATTAACAATATGTAACAGGAAAAGAGAAAAAAAACGTAATACTTGATAATTTCTTTCTATTATTCATTTTGATGTTCACTGTGTTAATATATTAAACAAAGTACTTTGCACTTGTTCATTTGTTATCGTTCATTTATTTACTTAACTTTGAAGCGTAAACACGGAAACCATAAATTCGTAAATGCTTATTGTTCACCTCCTTATATCAATCAATATAATTAGTTAGTAAAATACTAGCCATTCAAATAAGAGCAGGAGATATGATATTATTGTCTGCTACATGAATGCTTTTTGTAGTTATTCACTGAAACTGGAAATAATTATGCACTAGATACATATTGACATTCCCCACCGTAGCTGTTACCTTGACGTGGTGGTCAGGCTTGACTATCGTGATGACCCAACCGAGCTATACTGGCTGGAACATATGTTCCTGCAGGTCCTACCATGTCAGGCAGGTCGATTGGAGAATGGTCAGACAAAAAGCAGCTACCCAAGGTCTGAGGACGAGGTCGTACTGCTGACTGCAGAGGGGTGTGACAGCAGTAAGGTGTTTCGCTCGGACAACCAGCATTTGCAGCGATGCTGCCTTCTCACAAGGAAGGAAGGGTTAGAAAAGGTCGACCCTAAAAATTCCACACCTCACCCTACCTCACGGATTTCCGTCTCCTTGGGTAAGGGTGCCCACTAAGGGCTTTTAAGAGCGGAGCTAATACTCAAAAAACCCTTCATAAAAAGGCCGTGCGTGACCGGCCTCAAGCAGTTGTCCCTTGGACTCTGCGGTTACGCGCCCAGGTCTCTAAGACCAACACTAATCTATCCTCCTTTTCAGGTGCAACAAGAAACAACCTTCCACGGTGTGGGCAGCCGGGAAGTGACAACCGCCATCATACCCGTAACAGCACACGGGATCAAATTGGTCAAAATCAAATCCTTCCTACACCCCCTAATACCTTCTATCTCTACGACTAACTCTACTCATACTCCCTTTTCTCACTGTACCGCTAATCCAGACGAAGCGAGATCACGAAACGTCGTTCCTGGTCTCCTGAAACCCCGTTCTAGACTACATGTTGGAGCTTTTAATGTACGGACATTGTGTCAAATAGGGCAAAAGGCTTCGTCAGCTAGGACATTAGAAACTCGTGCCATCGATGTATGCTGCGTCTCGGAAACGCGCATACAGGATCGTAGTAAAATTATTAAACTGATTTCACCTTGTCGAAATAAAGAAGCAACTCGAATGACTCTTCGTGTACCCGGTAGCCCTGATGCTGCTTCCCGAGGTCTCGCTGGTGTAGGTATAGCATTGAGTCGTAGAGCTGAACAATCTCTCCTATACTGGGTCCCAGTAGATAGTCGATTGTGTACTGTCCGACTGAACGGGACAGTGAGGACTCGTAAAGATAGATACACCCGCCGTTACCCCTTCGTCGTATCTGGCTTAGCCTTCACTGACTGTAGTTTAGACGAGGTGAAAGATGAGTTCTACAGAAAGCTTTCGGACCTCCTCCAAGAAGCTAGGCGCTCCGATGTAGCAATAATGGCTGGTGACTTTAATGCTCAAGTACGTAGACTAAGTGAGCAGTAGAAACACCTTGGTGGATGTTATGGTGTCGCGGCTCAGAGAACAGACAATGGCGACCGTCTGTTGCAACTATGCTCAGATAACCGCCTATTTCTAGCAAACACTAACTTTAGGCATAAGGAAAAGCACCTTTTGACCTGGCGACCTCCAAAGTCGTCTCAACGTTGGACCCAACTAGATCACATCGCAATCAGCCAACGATGGAGGGGTTCG